TGTGAAATGTGGGTTCACCTCATCACTTGGGGTCGTCCTCTGACAACACAGCCAGCTATTGCAAGCCTGTGAAGGAAAATATTGTCTTCCTCAGATCACATTTTTGGAGGTAATGGCTCAGCAGTCAGAATGATATCATCAACCACCAAGATGAGCCAAAGCAAAATCAATAGATACTGGTGGGTGGTTTTGACCAACTGGCTAATAAAAGACACATCAAGTTTATACTGCAAGTTTATTATAGTAATACATTCAGATTAAATTATTTTCACAGCTAATATACCTAATTATATCAGGGTATGTATATATATTTTATTCCCAGCACGTTACAATCTTTTTATCTTTAATCATGCAGCGAGTAATGTACAAACACAATTATATGGAAGATTTTTTTTCCCTAAAAAAGAGAAACCAAAATTACAAAAGTATGGCTTTATAAGAAAGTTGTATCATACAATGAACATTCGTTTGTACTTGGGCATGGCAACATTCGGTGTTAATCAGTGAACAACAGCATCTGTCACTGTCATGCTGATTCCAAAAAAGCCAAGGGAACTGGGAACAGGGAAATGCCCATCAGTGTCAGAGAGATGGAAAATATATATCTATATACATTCAATGTACGAAAAATGTAAAAAATGTTTTCAGGGATTAAGCAACACATTTATTTATATGCTGAAGTCAGAGTTATGGAGCCTTGAAGAATATAAGTACACAAACATTTTCTGTTTTCCTTTAGACCAACAAACATCGGGAGTGATGCAATTGACTTAAAAAGCGTTACTTCGGGTGTAAAGAGGTGTAACTGAGGTCAGAATTTGGCCTGCCCTTCCTGCTAATGGTGCTGCAGAAATAGACAGAAGCATAGGGTTAGGAAGTCATAGCTGGCTGAATTTTGCTGGCAGCCCAGAGAAAAGAAAGACAAAGATATGTGTTTAATAGATTTTATTTTTTTAAAAAATGGATCCGAGAGTAAAATGTGGCCACTATCACAAGCCCTTTGCTGGATGACTGTGGTTGTTGGTGAGCAGAAGCCCTTATGTTTGGTGTTCAGGGGTAAAACACCCATTTCAAGAGCAAAGCTGCTGCCTCTCTACAAGTGAAGAAGAGATGTCCTTACCTGTCAGCAGCACAGAGCTTGGAACACACACTTATCTCTCGAAAAGACTGCTTTCTTAAGGCATCGATCACTGATGTGTACAAGTACTGGAGTGGGCAGGTAATGTAAGACAGTTACGAGTTTTACCAGGAGAGGGCAGACAGAGACACAGACATGTATGTGCACACATGCACCCACACGTTTACACGCACACACACACAGACACACAAGCACACACCCCACAAGTCACTCGCTGTGCTCGCTGAAGCGATACTCATCGAAACTGAAGTCACGCGCATACACGCACAACTCAGATCCTTACAATGCTACTCCTCAAAATTGAAATTAAAACGACGTAACCTGCAGAGCCCACCTGTAATCCAAAGATGAGCAGACTTTACCCTCTCCCTTTTCTCTCTTGCTTTTATTCTTTTTCCCAAGTTCAGAAATACAGATCTTAGCTACACTTACTCAGTACGTATATATGCAAAATGTAAACATCACTACACAGCACCTAGTACCCTTTTTGATTAACAAAGTCAGTAACATATTTGTCATGCAAACACAGGTATTTTTCAAGATTACAGACTGTCACATTGCAGGAAGTGTGGAAAATAATTTGAGTTTACTTTCACTAATAACCTGGCTCGGAAAGAATGGAGAAAAAAACTCAACACAGACGGGGCTGAGGTAGATTTGGCCATATCTGATGTAATGTCACTGTACTCAG